AAACCCCAGGTGGGTATTTCTGAAGGAAAAGATTGTCTTTCCTTCTGCATCACCCCACGTTTGCATTTGGAGATGTCCCTGACCTCCACACGTTGTCTCTCCTCTCTCTCATCTGACACCAGTGTCCTTTTTTCCAAGCCCAGCTCTGTCCAGCCTTCTACGAGATGTTAGCATTCCCCAAGTGTCAGGCACGGAGAGGCGGTGGAGAAGCTCTGGAGCCGTCTCTGCCATTTAGTGGAGTGAATGGGAATAGATTTTGAAGTACTCTCCCGATGCTCTGACTGGCTTGGCGTTAAAAATCAGCGCCCTTTGGGAAACAGAAACTGCCTGTCCTTGGTTTCTAAACCACACACTTTGAGACCAAGCTGCTTAATGTTTTGCCATCCAAGAGAGCAGTCAGCGAACGCCAGCCGTCGGAGCCCTGGCAGCATCTCTGCCTCGCGTTAAGCAAATCTCGCATTTTACAAACGTATCAGCCCGGCATCACCTCCTGCCTGTCTGTCTCCTGTCAGAGAGACACTGTTCCTGTTCAGCTCCGTCGCGTTCAGCCCGCTATAGGGTATGTAGCGTTTTTGCTGATACGAGCCTGGCAGGTAGCAGCATCTGGCTCTGGATCAGTCTGAGCTTCGCTTCCCCAGCAATTAATTCCTACCGCGGCGGCGATCGAGTGCGTCAGCCTGGGCCTTTCCCGCGCTGCTGTCGGATGTGGCTGCCCTCGGCTGGATTTTGGTGGGTTTCATGGCTGCTTCTCCTTGCTTAGACTTCAGATAATCCTGCTCCCTGTGTGTTCTTCTCTTTCTGACCCTGCAAGTGCCCTTCTATGGGTTTTTGCTAGAAAAAGTACATAGCAAGCCCACAGTTGGGATAGGATTGAACTGATGGACTGAATTAGCTTGTGCTGCTCGTGGCTTTGGAGAAGTCTCTTCCAAGCTGGATGAGTGGACCAGAGAAAGAGCTTCAGACCTGTGATTCCTTTGATACATCAGGTATTGGTCCTCTGGGTTACAGGGCTGGTGTGTGCGGATACAGCTGCCAGCGCACAGGGGTGACAATGGTCAGCATGGGGTTATCCTGCGCTGGAGGGATGGGGAGGGCTCAGGGTGGGAAGGATTGGGTTGCCAGTGGTGTGGCATCACTGCCTGGCTGTGACTGTGGGATAACTGAGGATTTGGGCCATCCCATCCGTGTCTCCAGGCTGTGACGGAGACTGGGTTGCCGCAGGGTCTGCCCAGCCATGGGGAGCAGTGGGTTCGTGGGAGAGCAAGCTGTAAATAACACGTGAAGGGGGATCCCTGCAAGCTCTGAAATGAAAACACCCATCCGTGCCAGCTCCTGAGTGGCAGGACATGCCCGTTTAGGGGGGCAGGATGAGGCCGTGCATTTTAAAATACAGCCCTGCTGCAGCATATGCCCTGTATAGAATGAAGAAACAAAGGAAAGCCCACTGACTGCTTTAAATATTTCCGCTGCTTCCATCTGCATCAGGTTATCGGCCCATTTGCAGTCCCACGTGCCAGCCATTGGATGCGCTGGTTGGATTTATGATGCTCTCTGTGGTTGGCATTCAGCAATCAGTGATTGAAACGGGGGAGAAAAATTAAAAAAAAATCAAACTACAACTTGAACAGTTTATTGCAACTCCTGACTGGCACAAGTATTAGTGTCCAGGATCCTTTCCTTTATCCTCAGTTAAAACTGAGATATTTCCATTTCAGTGTGAAGGCAGTGTTTGTGGGTGCATCATTGTGAAACACTCCAAAAGGGCGGATAGGGGAGAAAGAGGTTTTCTGTTAAAAGAAAGGTAGGCACCATCCCTGAAGGTATTTAGAAGACATGTAGATGTGGTGCTTAGGGACAGGGTTTAGTGGTGGACTTGGCAGTGCTGGGTCTATGGATGGACTTGATGATCTTAAGGATCTTTTCCAACCTAAATGATTCTATGATGATTTTAGCAACAGCACAGGCTTTGCCATGGCACTTATTTCTGGCAGATGTTGATGACTTTGCCTGGTGTTCAGTAAAGGTCTCTTAGAGGATCTGGAGAAAGTATTTGACTTAGAATTTTGTACGTCCAGACAGGAGAAACTGGTATTTTGACTATCGGCAACAGCGTATTTAGCTAGAGGAGCACCTTCCCTTTGGTGTTAGCATCTTTAGCCGCTGTCGTTATCACTCTTTTCTTCCTGTCTTTTGTGATCATTAAATGTGTCTCTGTGTGCATCTTTTTCAACTTGAGGTGTTTATGGCACGGGAATGTTTTATATCACTTTTACCTCTAGAGTTGGTGTCGAGGAGCTGGTTGAGGGATTTTTCTCCATCTTTTTATCTGTGGTTTAAATCAATCCTGTATCAGCAGGGGTAAGTGAAAAGCAGGTCAAACGAGGAATTTCTGTACACCACTGGCTCATGGCAGGCAGGTGAAGGAGAGGCTGCCCACTGATTCCAGAGCCACTACGCATGTTAAAAAAAAGTTTAGTTTCTTAGCTAAAAGTTGTTATAAACATAGAATTTTTAACTTTAAAATCCTCACTCCTGAGAGCCAGTAACAACAATCTGACAAGTGTGAAACTGAGAAAGGAAACACTTTTTCAATGGAACTTTTGTATAATGATATCTTAGAGAAAAGGAAGATGACCATCAAAGTGCTCTGTTAATATTCACAAAACTTATATTGGACATCTCTTGGGGTTTCTTTGTTTTGAAGCGCTTAAAATAAGGGCGTCAACTAAACTTGTTGCGAGAGAAGTTAGGTGTTGCGGCTGCAGGAGGTGCTGGCAGCAGTCAGCTGGAATTGCTTTTCTGATTTGAGAAATTAAGATTTTTTTTAGATTCTTTTTTCTCTCTTTCTGGCTACTTTGAGTTTTAAATAAAGCATGTGTATTTTGAATAGTGTTCTTCCCAGAGCAGCAAATCCATCCATGGGGCTGATATCCAGGGAGAGAGAAGAGGCATGGGACGGCCAGCCGGGCTGTCTGGGGCTGGAGGGACCCGCTCCGAGGGGAGCAGATGCTGAGCCTGGCTCAGTGTTTTTCTGAACCCAAGTGCCCTGAAGTCAGTGGGAAGAACTGCAAGTGTTCTCCCATTTTTCCATGTGAAAAATGTGTTTGTGCTTACCCT